CTGCTGGTTTTCACCCCTGGCCCGGTACACCCCTCCTTAGCCAACCTGAATGCCTCGGACTCCTCCATGGCACCCATATTGACGGCAAGCTTAGTGCGGACGTTCCGTCAACATGAGGAAATCCACCACACAGAACCCCCAGCCTCAGACCATTCCACAATCCGACCTCGCAGAAGCACGATTACAGAAGATGCCAACCTTCCAGTCGATAGGCGATGAACTAAAACGTAAACATAAGCTATGCTATGCATGTCACCAACAAAACAATGCACACACAAGCAGACGAATGTTTTCATTCACTGTGAATGGGGTGACGGACTGAATGGATGAGATGATGATATTCACAGTCATTGATACCCCATTTTAAAGAAATGTGTAGACACACGTAGAATACGCAAAAGTTGGGATGATAAACTAATGGAAGTTAAAGTAATGAAGTAATGTAATGAAAAGTTTTGAAATAAGTTTTTTATAAAAACAAAATTGGAAATATAAATGTATCTCTTTCTCAAAACACGTCAATGTGCCAAGAAATATTTGTTCATTAAATAAGAGTAGTCTTATTTTTTGCCAATTTGTAAATAGAATTGAATACAAATTAACTAAGACAACTACTCCAATTGGTGTACTTATGTTCCAGTGTTTGATATTTGATATAGATTTGAGAGAGAACAAGTAAAAAACCCTCCCCCCATTAAGTAACATCTTGAATACAAGCATGTTGAATTTTCCGTTGGTGAGATCGGTTGGAGAATGCACTTCAAGTTTGCAAAATACTATGAACCATTATATGAAGGCTATACCACAACGGAAACTTATATAGACAATTTTCTACTAAAGGGTTTGTTATCTATTGCAAGTCTTACATACCAAAATTTAAACTATTGCGTGGAAACATGTGTATTAATCATGGAAATACCGAACATTAAAAACTCTAAACATTAAATTCCAAAAAAACAAAAAATCATAAAAAATGTGGCAAAAATGATCAAAATACCGAATATCGGGAGATACAATAGGCGCTCTAGGAAAATTTGGGCCTGTATATACTGTTCTGCCACCGGAGCTAAAACCCATTACGAACTACAAATACAAAATGTTAGACAAATCCGTTAGAAAATGTGGCAAAAATCTTCAAAATACAGAATATCGGGAGGTACCAATATGTGGGGGCTATACGAAAGCGTGGACCTATACATACTATGTTTCCAAAATGTAGCTTTAACCCATTATGACCTACAAATACCAATTGTTAGACAAACCCGTGAAAAAATTGTGGCGAGAGTCATACAAATACAAATGTCGGAAGGCACCTTTATATGGGGGCTATATGAATATGATATAAACTTAGGCCGATATATCTTCTTTTCAATACCAACCTTCCTAGACACAATACCAACTATTGTGTCAAATTCCAAAACTCTACGGCACATAATGTGAAATAATGCATGATTTCAACAGACCGATATCGTTAAAACGATTTAGTATTTTATGATGATTGTGATTATAAATATTTTATGGGGTCTACGACAAATATTTAAAGGTTTTACAAACGGAATGACAAAATTTTGTATTCTTTTCAAGGTGGAAGGTATAAAAATTACGACCATAGTAGCACATACCCTATAAAACTCAAGTGTTTTCGGTATGGTGATTCTGCACAGATGCCGGATTTTTTTCCTCTAATTTGTTGGGAAATTAAATTAAAAATTAATTTTAAGCCATCCAAATACGTAATATTCATAATTATGGGAGCAATGTCGAATGTTGAAATTAATCTTACAATTCTTCGTTTTGATTTTATTATCTACGAAAATTCAATATTCTTGATGGAAAAAACTGTATACACATTTTGAAAATATTATAGAGAATTTCAATTTTGCGTTCTACTTTAATTATACTTAGTTTTGTTTATGAAATTTAATACCATTTTGGCTTATATAAGAGATTTTAAAATGTTTACCAATTAAAAAAATCAAATGCGCCCAACGTGGGGCTCGAACCCACGACCCTGAGATTAAGAGTCTCATGCTCTACCGACTGAGCTAGCCGGGCTGTGTGGTTCCCGTGCGCTCATTGGTGTTGTTCGGCTGTGGAATGTACATACACACACACTGTTGTTTAAAGACAAGACATTTCGTTCGCTTCTGATCTAAGATTAGAACAGATGAAAAAATTCGCAGAGTGGATAAAAAAATTATTTTTGGCGATTTATCTTTGGATTAAGTATATAGAGAAATATACAAGCAAATTATTGATTCGCTTCAAAAAGTTTCACATGACATCATCGTAAATTTAGGTATTCAGATATAAGGTCCTTTAGTTCAGTATAAATCCTTTATCCTTTAAATATATTTTTTTAGCCGTCAGTTTTATTTACATCTCAATATCTTCGTCTATATTCTTCATCAGCATAAAATTTTGAATAGAAAATGCTATTATTGTAGACTACATCGGCCCATGTTTAGGTTAGGTTAGGTCTTTTGGAGTGGACCCATTTAAGAAAAAAATAGAAGAGGAAAAAAAAAGAAATAAAGAAAAGAGTAAAATTATTTTTGATTCACAAAGAAATTAGTCTTTTTTAGTCTAATGGGAACTGAAAAATGACTGCAGGCACAGTATCGGAGAATGCAAATAGATCGTACAGAATTTGATTCCCCATAAGCCTCTGTCTTACAACGTAGAGATTTGGACAGTGGCAGAGTAGGTGCTATACCGTTTGAGTTTCCTCCTCATTTTGACAGAGCCTGCAGTAATCGGTGCGGTCGTCAACCCACTTAGAAGTCATGACCCTTAAGTTGCAGTTATTAGTGATTATTCCCACCACAAGTTTTAGGTTTGATTTCGCCTTGGAGATGAACGATTTTGGTTCGTAGCCGATAGCAAAAAAGATGGTCATGATCATAAATTATACTCTCGCACGGTGGAGGTTATATATTTGGCAAATTACCATTTGAGTTCATCTAAAGAAAACATTTTCCAAATTGTAGGCTATAACCATGGTAGAAGAATATAGGTAGACGCATCGACACAACTGCTGGGACAATGGACTGTCAAACCAATTTTGGAATTGAAAATGTTGAATGAAAAATTATTTAAATTTGTAAATATTATTGAAAAACCGCGAATTATAATAACCTCCGAATAACGTAGTATAAGAAAAATTTAAAAAATCCACTTATATTGGAAAAAAATTAAAATATTTTTGACATATCAATGCTCCCAAGCGTTGATGCATCTACCTGTATTTTTCTGCCATGGCTATAACTTAGGGTTTTAACTAAGATAGTCCTTTAAAGGGCGTTCAAAGGCTATTAAAATGTTATTTTTTTAATTATAGTTTTTTTTTTCATTTTGGACGTAGCCTAATTTGACACGGATATTGAAATGAACAAGATTAAAATTTGGAATCTTCGAAGTGCTGGTACCAGAATGAGTTAACCGATCTGGTCGATTTTTGTATCTGACCCAAGTCTGGCACAAATATTACCGTGGCCCATTGCAATATAATTTTCTATTAGTCCTTTTTTGTTGGTAGTTTTGGACTCTTTGTAAGATGTACTTGTGTAAAATTATTGTTATGATTGGCCTAGAATGGCTAAATCTAGTTCCCCCTTCGAGATTTATCATTCACGCTAAATAGGCTAAGGAACATGAGACTTTTTGGCAATACGATACTATAGAGTCTATAGTTATAAAGGCTGGAAACTCAAAAATTTGCAGTAACAAGACTTGTGGCAAGTTTTTGTTAAATGAATGACTTACCCATTGTATAAGATGTTGGCGTTCCTGCAAAAATAAGTCCATTATCAATATATATTGTAATATAATTATGAATTTTATACGTACTTGTATTTTATGTTGCAGATTCCAAATTATTCCAAAGCGGTCGTCCAAAAATTCTAGCATTGTATAAATTCATTGAAGCACTGCAGTCGTGATTTTATTTACAAGACTTCCCATTTATTTTTGATTCTACTTTCCACTAAGGTTCAGGTCCAAAAATTTAAGCTTTGCATAGATACATGGAAGCTCTGCGAAGCGGTCGTCCAAAAATTCTAGCATTGTATAAATACATTGAAGCTCAGCAGTCCTGATTTTAGACTTCCCATTTATTTTTGATTCGGCGTTCCACTAAGGTTCAGGTCCAAAAATTTAATCTTTGCATAGATACATGGAAACGCTGCAGTCCTGATTTTGTTTAAAAGACCCACTACCCATTTATTGTTGATTGTATATTCCACTAAGGTTTGGAACTCTTTCACACTTTCCGGACATTTATACAGACCATATTATTGACTAGCTTCAAGTGAAATTTTCTGATTGTTACATATTGATTTATTTTCGTAAGTAAATCCGTTTGGCGTTGTAACATCACGATCAGTTGTTAACCTTTGCATAATTTTCCTTTAAACTTTCCCTTCTTTTTGGCCATAATGACTTCAAATTAGAGAGCTTCACAACATAGTTAACTCCATTTTTCTTTTTTTCTGTTGTGCAACAAACACATGACCACACATATCGATAATTTGTCCACATTTTCTATCAGTTTTATTATTTATTTATAGCTTTAATCACTTTCATAAAATTTACTTCGAATTCTTGCAAAAATATCTTTCAACATAACGGCTTACTTTGATTTTTTAGTTTGTTTGCCATCTGCTTTTATTTCAATGTTGCCAGCACTGTTTGTAAAGCGATAGAGAAAACATGACATGTTCGCACGGTACATGATATTTACCGAAAAAGCAAATTCAATTAAACATAACTTAAATATCTTATGTTTTTAATTAAAAAGTAAAACGTAATGACAAGTTTCAATATTTTCAACAGCCATAACCCTCATATTTAACCCTCCAATAATTCTTCCAATGGCAGCAGCAAACCCATACCAAATTTGCCTGCGAATCATGTTCCGTCTGAACGCCACATAATCACTATCGATTATATTAAAAAACATGACAACTATCGAACGAACACAAAGTCGATTATTTCTCATCTCTATCACACAACCCCCATTGATGTGCTCCAATAAGAGAAAAATATAGCAGTAAAAAAACAAGAACGGTTGCTGTTGGAAACGTTTGGACGGAGAACGGAGAAGAACAACAACACAAAATTAGTAAAGCAAATATTAACATAAAGATTTTTGATAACAACAAAAGAAGTGTTGTTTTTTGAATTTGCAAGTTGAGGAAGACAACAATCGAAAGTGATTTGACTGGTGGTGCTAAAAACCACAATAACAACAAATTGTTATTAACAATAAAAACAAAGAAACCCCAAAAATCAGTGACGAAACGCAAAAACAGAGAGATAATATAGATAATAAAAAATAATAACAACAACAAGAGTGAAATAACAAAAGAAACGCAAAAATGTGCGGTGGATTTACGTGTTCAAAGAATGCATTAATTGCCTTAAATATTTTATATGTGGTAAGTTGTTGCTGTTGTTTGGTTGGTTGGAGGCAGACAAATGTCAAGTAATTTCAATTTGTGGAGCCCTTGAAGGGCAGCATGAACACAGACCATGAACAAAACGGAACGCTAATAGACAGAACTCATTACAATCGAAAAGAAAAATAAACTGTTATACATAATAAATTAAATGCATTTTGCCGAACAAATTCATAGCTATTTCGCCCCATTAAAGTTGTTAAGCTTCTTCCCTTACATTTTCTTTGTACTGATTATAAAGTACATCTACCTACCTACCTACTTGAAAATGAGGATGAGCGGAGAGGGAGTGCGAAAGGAACTCATATTTCATATCATGCTGATTTAAAAGCAATTTCTTTCCTGATTGTTTTCTTTTTCTCGTTATACATACATTAGGGACAACTGCCTTGTGCAGTCATATCCTCCTCTTACATCTTTCTTTTTGCTACAATCCCACCAATTCATGCTCTAATTTCCCTGCTAAACAAAGGAACAAAAAGGGTCGTCGTCGCTGTCTCGTTGGTGTTTCCTTAAGCTTCTTTTGCACTTTGTCTCTTGCCTGCCTGCCCGTCTCCCTTTATTGTTTTTCTTTCCAAAGAAATCCTTTAAAAAAATATCGATTTCGTTTTAGTTGCTTTATTTGTTTTACATTCTCATCAGCAGCATTGCTGTCGCTGCTGACATACTATCATCATCCCTTCTCGGTATTCCTTCTATAAATAGGAGTTTTAAATGTATCATTTTTTCCAATCACTTGCCCGGCTGCTTGCTTACTTTGTAATCATTCAGCCAGAAAGTCCGTTTCTCTGTCTGTCTGTCTGTCTATCAGAAAAGGCAACAACGTGTTGTTGCTTTTGTTTTATATATTGCCTGACATCTGGCTTGGGTTCTGCTGCTTGGGGCTGCGGTGACGGCGGCATTGTTGTTTTGTTTCCTGATACGAGGGTTGTTGTTACAGGAAAGTTCATGGCTTGTAAACAAAAGATTATAAACTTCGTTCATTTGATGTGTGAAAACTTTAAAAGAAATTAAATAACGTTTTCCTCTCTGACTGGAGTAACAGATGTTTCTCTATTCTCTGTATGACTCTCTCATTCTTATCCGTCGCCTCCCCACGGTAGTTAGTCATCTCTGTTATTGTTTTCTAAACACACTGAGGACTAATGAGGCGAGTGAGTTTGCCATAACTTGTCATCAACAATTTGGAGTTTGACCTTAAATGGCGGGATTTATTGTTTACGTACGTTGATTGACTTCCAATACAGTAAAATACCAGACAAAATGTAGTGAGGTAAATGATCTGGACAAAATAGTGACAAGTGTGAGTCTTTCGTTTACCCTTCAGTTTTTGTTCTTTTGTGGGTAATAGGCATTTTAATGATATAATATTAACACACTACCAGCGGAACTTAATCGATTTATACCGTCGTAAATACCAAAGGAAAAAGATGAATTTTACGAATTAATTCTTTCGAGCACGGAATTTTAATTCAAATGTACATTACACATTCTATTTATCTTCAATACTTTATATCAGCATATAGTATGAAATATATAAATATGTGTGCTCCTGTACGAAAGAGTTTGGAAAACTTTTTGAATTTATTAAGCAAACAATGGTAAATATTATAAACACGCAGTTTGTTTTGGGATATCAATTTTTCTACCTCGAAACTGACAAATTATATTTGGAATATTGGTCTTCGAATAATTTAATTAAATGTTTTTGCATTAAAAATTTTGGTGTCCAATCTGAACCGCCGATCTAATACATCCACTTGCGCATATTTCCAACGAGGAATCCAATGATTTGCTAAACATGTTAAAAAGTATCTCTCGGTTCAGCCGACAGATGTATACCCTCAGCCAATGTTCGATTACTAAAATATAATTTGACTTGTGTTATGATTATTTAAATTGTTTACCTTCTATGCAGTAGGTTCTGAAGTAATGGACCAATATTGTTCATTTTGTATCAGACCTAAACACATATGATGTTAATATTTCGACGTGCCATGTTTGGACAATATCGACTACTTCCTTCACTTTATATGAGATATGTGATAATTTTTAGAAAATTTTAAAATGTGCGTGAGTTACCAGGTATAGTCGATCGAAGAATTCCATTTTCATACTTCATGTAATACAGATAAATATATCGGAGTGAAAAAAGCACAAGTAAATCGAATCTTTCGAATTTTATATAGACCGATATATACCGTCTTCACACCAGACCTTGGACTAATAAAAATATTGTGATATGTCTAATTTGAGAAGAGAACTGGATGCATTTTTTCGGATTTTATGATTGTTTTGTTTATTAAAAACTTTACCCTTTCCTTCCATCAACACAAGATGTGTCAGATGTGCCAAGTCTAAATGGAATCGGATGATAATTTCGCGCTTTATAGCCTTAATAGATATTCAAAATTTCGACCTTTTGTGGGGGAGGTACCAGAAGGAGTGGACCGATAAATTCCATCTTAACACCTGAGCTTGGGTTAATAAAAATATTGGGATGTGTGACATTTTATATCACATTTTATGAGGGTTATAATTATTCAAAATTTTAACCCTTTGTGGGGGTCGCACTTGATAGAGGGGATATTATCCATATTTGCACCTGAACTAGAATTGACGAAAATATTAGGATTTGTAAAGTTGGAGGAAAATCGGACTATTGCTTCTCTTTCTGTGCAGAAAATATTTTCCGTTTGTTTTTCTTTTTTTAATTTCGACCTTTTGTGGGGAGAGTGGACCGATGTATTCCATCTTGGTACCCAACCTTGGGTTAATAAAATTATTGGAATGTGTGAAATTTGAAGACAATCGGACTCTTACATCAAATTTTATAAGCGTTGTAATTATTTAAAATTTTGACCCTTTCTCCCCCACAAAGGGGAATATACCGATGGTGCCCATTTTCGCACCTGACCTAGCATTGATGCAAATATTAGGATATGCAAAGTTGGAGCAAAATCGGATTATCCTTTCTCTTTTTGTGCAATAAATTATTTTCTTTGAAAATATTGACATTTTGTGGGGGGAGTTTCCAGAAGGAGCGGACCGATATATTCCATTTAAATACCATTTTACTTTTTATAAGAGTTGTAATTATTAAAAGTTTTGACCGTTTGTGGGGGATGAACTTGATGGAGCGGACCGATATTGTCCATTTTCGCACCTGATCTAGCATTGATGCAAATATTAGGATATGCTAAGTTAGAGGGGAGGTACCAGAAGGAATGGACCGATATTGCCCATCTCCGAACTCGATCTAAGTTTGACAATAATATGACGATGCTTGGATCAAATCGGATACTCCCTACGAGAGTTATCGTGCGCACCAGCCAGACAGACGGACGGAAGGACATTGCTAGATCGACTCCAAATGTCCTGAAACGAATTTGGTCCAAAGAGACCTAGGGTCTAAAACCGTTATTTCGATGAGGCACGTTTTGGCCGTATCAAATGATATATACCCTCTGTAGCCATATGGCTGGAGGTATAAAAAAGCAATGGGAAAGGATTCACAATTATATGGATTTTTTGTCCGTCACGCTCTTAAAAATAAGTGCAAGTGTTAAAAAATTATTTCCCTGATGATTTAATAACAATGATGGATATTGTGCAAAAAAAGAAATATTGAAAATTATATGAGCCGAATAATAATATAAACAAATTACCTCTTTCAACTCAGCAGTAGGATATAAATTACGGAATAACAGGATATTCCTTTATAAAAAAAAATTCCTAAGTCGGGTTTTTTTTGCTCAGTATAAAATTCTATGTCGATTTATTCATGCCCGTGGCAGTTTGTGTTTCCAGTGCAAAGAACTGTCATAATGGGTCCAAGTTTTGTTATAGTTCCATATAACGGTACCTCTCGAAATAAAATATATGCATCGTTGTAGTTCATTGTTTAACAGAATTATTTCAAAGTTAGTATTTGGTGTTCACAATAGGTTCTACTTTCGATGGCTGAAAATTGTCTGTACATGTCCACCCTTTTCGCATAGTCCTAAATAAATGTGTATCTTTTTCAACAGGATTGTTTTGAATTTGGTAAATGCGGTTCTTAATGCGGGCTATCTCCTATGACATAAAATTGTTTCTAAGGGTCCACGTCGTCTTATATCCTCCATATAACGTAAGTTGCAGATATTCGGAGTTTTAATGATTTTAGCCACATTTTTTTAACGGACTGATTTCAAAGCTAGAATTTAGAGTTCCCAATAGGCATCAGCTTTCTATATAGACCCATATAACTGTATCAACCGGTATCCTTATTTTGAACAAATTTAGCCACATTTTTCAACGAAATATCCTGAAATTTGGTATTCAAGTTCCCAATAACACAAAAAAAAAAAATGTAACACTGGAAGACTAGATCTGGACAATTATGGACATATTTTCAAGAATGTCAAATGTTCGGCCAAACTGTTTATTTATATATTATGTGTCGTTTCGATGAAACTAGTGGTAATTGTATTATGTCTTTGTGCATTTGTTTGTAACATGGAGAACAAAGCGAAATAGACCCATAGTTACTTTTGAGGACTTTCATAAAATAACTTCTGGGTCGATTTATGCATGTCAGTCCATACGTCCAAAATCAGTCCAAATGGCTTGAATTTTAGCACAACCGACCGAATTCAGTCTAGAAGCAAGTACATTAAATTTGATGAATATTGGTTCAGATATAGCTATATGTCCCGATTTTGGGTTATAAGTCCCTCACATGCGTAATATGCACTCCACAACAATGATATTTGATATCGGACATTAGATACAGCTCGAAAATACCTCTGCCAACTTTTATCGAGATCGGTTCAGATTTTTATATACCATCTATATACATCTTCATTCGATTTTACGATTATTGTCCACCATATATGTGATATCACCCCAAATTAGATACATTTTTTCTTATTCGACCGAATTTTTCGATTTGGTGAAACTCGGTTCGGTATATCTATTGCTCCAATAAATATTTTTAATATAATCCTTATCGAAGTCATATCATGCACTAACAGCTATATTATTTGGTACTAGAGGTGCAAAAGCCTTCGTCATATTTGTTGAAATCAATTCAGAGTTGGATATAGACCCAAATTGTGACTACTCTAAAGCCATGATACGCATTCATATAAATTCACGAAATAAACTTTTTTGTTACGGGAGCTGTACTAACAACACATAGTGGTGTAGGGTATTATATAGACGGCCCCGCCCGAATTTGACCTTTCCTTACTGGTTTCTTGTGCTGTTTTCTTTATTTCGGTTCCCAAAAAAGTTTAGAATTCCAAAGCTGTTTTTTGATCCTGTACATAATTTTGGCCTTTTTTGTAGCTTCTTTCGAGATTATGGACCAGGGTTGAAAATGTTTTTCAAACCTATGAAGAAATTTGGATTCTCTAAGATGTTGGTGGGTCATACTAACTCATGCGAGCTTGAATAGAATAGAAAATCCAAATTTGGTGCAAATTTGTTTAAAGCTGTTACACTTTATTACGATTCAAAACTTGGGCCTACATTTAGCGTGAAAATCCAAAATGCCTTAGCATGGCTAAATCAGTTGAAAATGTGGCTGACGTCATAAAGAATTAGGACCTCATATTTTGATACCATTTACAAAATGCAATGTAATCTGTATATATTTTTCAATGATTTATTGGCGGAAACGTTTATTGAGATTGTGGTTTGGGGGTTTACTACCCACCCATAGATATTTATTAGCCAAAATGAATCAAAAAATCTCCCATGGTGAAAAGACAATTTGTATTCGTTTGCTTTTAGGCAATTCAAGGTGAGTGTGTGTGTGCTGTAGAATTGTTTACAGTTCGTGCATTCAATGATGGAACTAATAAGCACAAAAAAAAAAAAAAAAAAAATACAAAATACACCTGAGTCTTAGACTATCAGACATACAACCACCCACCCAACCTGATATCGGAACAAACGAACCAAATGAATGAACGAACGAACCATGGATGTGTGGTGCATGCAACACATCTTAGATAAACTTTTATTTCTTTTTGTTTTGCTCTCCTCGTTTAAACAGTGTTTGTTTTTTTCTTCTCAACCTTATATTGATTATAATGCTTTTGTTTTGTTTCTCTGTTTTTTTTTCTTTCTAGATGGTGGGCTTCCTACTGATTGGTGTCGGTGTCTATGCTCGTGCTGCTTCAATTGTTACAAATCTTCCCATTGTTGGCGGTATACTGGCATGCGGCATTATCTTGATACTCATATCGATATTGGGTCTAGCTGGTGCTGTTAAACATCATCAAGTTATGCTGTTTTTCGTATCCTTTTTAAAGAAAAAAAAAACAATGACAACAAAAGCAAAAAACATTGAAACCCAATTAAAGACTAAAATCAATATTATCATCGAGACAATGGATGGATAGATAGATGCACTTATGTCCCATGTGTACTGCTGAGTCGACAAATGTGATGCAGTAGACTGCAATGGAGATTTATTTTGTTACATTTTCTAGATAAGAATTCTGTCCATTTGCTGGAAATTTATGTATGCTTAGATCTAATCATACTTGAAACCTAATTCAGAGTCAATGGTATAGAAGAGAGAGATTGAATAGAAGGAAATTTTAAAGGAGTACTGAGAATGCATCTATGTCAAAAGGATATAAAATGAATGGTCAGCATTAAGTCGGTAATGACAATAATGAATGGTGCAAGGCATCATATGTCTGGAAGACTTTTACTATTTCGTTGTAGTTATTCAACTGGTAAATGGAGAATTTACAAAGTAGAAATATTTTTGATTAGATCTAATAGTTGAAGTAATTCCAAGGCGGCTACCACTTCAGTATATACATTCCCCTCTGGTTATTTTATGGTTCTTTTTAATCGAAAAGTGTTAGTTTAAACAACGAGCAGTTGTCTTTTATCACCACTAGACAGTTTACCAAACAACGCTTCAGAGAACTGTCCAGGCCTTCTGATTTTTTGAAAACAGAAAGCATTTTTTACAGTTAAAGCTGCTGTTTTTATATCAGCTAGTCGGATGTCCAAAATAATTCAAAAAATATTAGAAGTAGCCAACAACCATCTCCATTTTTCGCGTTATATCAATCAGAAAATGAAACACAGGAACAAGATCCTCAACCTATTTGCTGGATTCTCCTGGAGCAAAGATACAGAAGCATTGGTAGCCTGAAATATGCTGCTCCAATTTGGGCTTCATTTCTTAATGACATGCAGTAGAAAAATTTTCAAACGTATCAGAACAGAATTTTGATGCACTGGTGTGGATCTCCACCATGAAAAAGCCAGCAAGGAAACAAAATATGTTGTTAACCTTACAGATTCTGCTGGCGAGCGATCTGTCGTGCTGAGATCCCCTCCTCGGCCTCATCCATCATGACTTCAGATGCTGTCGTAAGTAGTGATAGTAAAAGCTTTGAAAATAGTTACGGATGTAATAATGTTCTAATGTAATGACATGATTGAATAATATGTAGATCAATTCCCGAACTTGCCGCCTTCAAAGTTAGGAATATGAACCGATAATATGATTGCCACTAAATTAACGGCTACATTTTAAAATATAGACTTTGGAGATAAGAGTATATCTGAATCTGCAGTTTGAGAACAGATAATTTTCATCTTTAATTTTCTAAAAATCTGATGGATAATCTTTAACATGTACAAGCCACACAACTATATGCGATAAATTGAAAAGTAGGAACAACCTGTTTAAATCGCTAGCCGTTAGCACTTCTGATACACTTATTGCCTATACAGGGTGAGATAAAAAAAAACTGCAACAAAGTCAAACGTCACAATTTTTATTTTTATTTTTTTAAATTTTATTGAATAAAAACAAAAAATGTCGGATATAGCATCAAATTTTAGAATAAGTTTAGATTTGTTCGAATTGGTCACCTTTGGCACGAATTATGGCCTTCAAACCGCCAATGAAATTGTCACACGCTGCCCGAATGTTGCTCTGCGGTATTTTGGGACATTCCTGGCGAAGCGCTTGCTTAAGGTGATCAACACTTTAGCATTTTTTAGTGTCAACCTTCCAAAATACTCCAGACACAATAGTCCAACGGATGTGTATCCGGAGATATTGGGGGAAATGAAGCGAGGAACCTCATTTCGTAACCATTCTTGGGTGGCGCGTGCGGCCAAAATGTTTTAGTGCCCAAGGCTTTAATACACCCTCCAGAATAGTTTCGCGATAATATTCGGCATGTATTCTGATGCCACGGTCGATTAATACGAGCGGAGAGGTTTGTTATGGCAAACCCACAATCACCATGGCCGGCGCTTGAGTTCTTGTGGCCAACCGAAGGTGCTCATTTTCAGCTAACCTCCTTGGCAAGTAAACACGACCATTTTGTTTGTTTACAATCTGCTGGACAACGAATTTTTTTCTAATCGGAGACGGAGAAAACCAAATTCACCACTTCCCGCCAAGCGAAGCAACTCTTTAGCTCTTTTGAGACTATTTTCTTTCTATTGCGGTGTAAGTTCTTGCACTCGAGCTCAGGTTTCAATATTTGCCGAATGGAATATTGCGATATGTTCAGCTCACGAGCCATTTTTCGGCCACAGCGGCGCGAGTTTTGCTTCTTTACTTTTCGAAACATTTCTGCTGATGTTTGTGTTTTCTTACGTCGGGCTACGCTATCAGTATCACGGTAACGAGCGATGGTACGAGACACAAAAGATTTATTCACATTTAAATGATGGAGTGCCTAGCCAAATATAAAGAAATCACACTATCACGCTTGAATTCCATCACGAATAACTTTTTTCTGGAAAATTCTCACCAAAAAGCTTTTGTACGGAATATAATGAGCTGTTACTGGAATAATTTGAATAGCTATCGGACGAGTGGTTTAGAAATGACAGCAGTCTGAGGCTCGTTGCAGTTTTTTTCATCTCATCCTGTATAAGACCTGGTAGTCTTTTATTGTATATAGAAAACCTCCCGGCCTACTGTAAAGCATGGAAGATTTTCAGGTCTACTATAGAGCATAGAAAACCTCCAGAAGACTTAACACCTTAAAATGGTCTTTGGTGCCACTCTATGTAAAAGAATCCAGATCTGTCTAAAAGTCGCCTACAACAAAGTATCTCTTCACGAAGACTTCATTCGGACGTAACGGGCTTATGTTCCTTTTCCTGCTTAAATGTTTGCATTATAGTTATCCATGTCACCTTGTGGTGAGAAGGACTCCTCATCCCAGTAATTAAGGATGGAATATATGACCGAGGACGGGAGGTCTAAAAAGTACACTTACCGATATCGTTGCTCATTTTATTAGCTATACAATTCATCCTTAGAACCCCAGCTCATTCTGTAGCAGCTGAAGACCCTCAGTAGCCTAGAAAACGGAGTAGTTTTTGCCCAACCAGGTTGAGTATGGTTTATGGTCATCATTTGTGCATGTGATGAAAATGTATAGAATCTTTATTCCGCATACGAGACAGACCTTTGTATTGCGCTGAAACTTTTCAATAGTCCTGACAAAGCCTAGGCCAACAGCCTTTCATTTTTTCGGCATGGATTTAGAATTATAGCCAGATTTAATGAAAAAATACCTCGACATAAACTGCTTAAATAACCACAACAGATTTGTTGTCTCCCTTACCATAGTATTATAACGGAGAATGAAATGGTTCATGAATTACCTTAGGATGGTTCCTAGTCAACTGATCTAGCGATTGATGTGACTGTCAACTACCCATAACCTATTAAATTAAAAGTTTCAAAAATGTCCTAAAAATAACTTCCTCAAACTTAGCTGGCAGGTGGTGCCTAAAATTAACCTCCTCAATCTTTTCTTTACTTCTATATCTTCTTTTAAATCCATTTACCTTAGGTGGACACAATGGACCAAAGGTCTTCGTGTAAATTAAACCTCTGCCTCTGTTCTTCACTGCTGACAACAATTTTAGCAAACTAGTCATCAAAAGATATTAAGGGCTTGATTTCGACTACACCTTAACATTACATCGAGAAAATCCGCACAGATGAAGTTGTAATCTCCATTATTTCTTGAAAAGACTGAACCTCCCTATCATATTTTATTCCAAGCCTATTTTATACGGACTTCCTAATTATAAGTCACTTTTAAGAATTTTTTTTGATGGATTATAAAATTATGAAATATTCCCAACATACCAAATTGACTTGAGAATAATATTTTAATAAGCTTACAAACATAAGCCTAAAGCTTGAGAAAATCTTGAGAATGTATTGAGAAATGTTTGTTTAACAATTATAGAATAATCGAAAAGGAACCCTTATTCATAAGCTTATTCTTGTAATTGCAGAATAGGCTTACGAAAGTAATATTTTATAAAGCTTATTTTTTCAATGGTAAAAAATATTTATTTATTTATTTTTTAATTATTTTACACATTTCATTCATTGATTGCCATCCCAGCTGTCACTGCATCCTGTTGCCTTGATACCTAGATGCTTTCTTTCCCCTTATTTGAGCTTCTGTATCTCCTCCACTTATTCTTCACTTCTGTTGAATTCCTGCAACTTTTTGACGCCTCCATTCTGAAATGAGATTGAAATAATTTATACTACAGATTCCCAGATTTATTATTCATCATTACCTTAGAGTTTCGTCCGGAAATGGGTCCTAAATTCGCGTGATTTTGATTTTAACCAAAGAAAATAATTTTTTGTTGACAATTTTCACAAAAAAAAATCAAAACAAATTTGTCAACAAAGGACAGATTTGAGAAAAGTTTGTGCAAAAAAGTGTTTCTCAAGCATTGTTGAAAAGTTCTTATGATAAACTATTTTCATAATATTATTCTCAAGCTGTATTGTATTTTTGGTATGTTGGGTTTCGTTAGAATATTTTTAATTTTTTTAGAAAATGTAAAGGACCTTAGGGTCCATTATTCCTTTTCTTTATAACCGCCGAAATGCAGTTCAAGCGACCCCCCACCAAAAATGGCCTTGTTGAAATATGTTGTTTGGCAAGAGGTCGGCCTACATGCGGTATGAGTGGAAAGAACTGTTCATCTTGTGTTAAGTGGTGTTCAAAGTTTTTTGTTTTTTTTTTTTTTTTTCTAAAACCAAATGTTAACAACAATTTAAACCCAACTGTTGTTGTTTTTTTGCAGTGAAATAATTCTCTCTACATTGGCTTATTCCATAGCCAACATATACAAGTACAAGTACCCCTACTTCCCATCCAATCTAGTACAAGTACCTAATGTAACAAATTCTTATGCCTCGATGCTTTTTCGTTTTTTTTTTATAAACTATTAAACATTCCAAAGAAACTTTTCGCATATGGCATGTTGAAGTGGTGGAAATGGTGGATGGGGAAGAAGCTAGTTTGTTATATTTTCTAATGCTGCCGCCGCTGCTGTTGCCTTTGAAGACCGTAGGCATTTGTAGGGAAATTGTAATTCTAAAACTATGAAATATTCAGGATTAATGAGGCGAAAGCTAAAGTGAAATGATACTCATGCTGTGTTCAAACAGAAATGCAAAGAGAGGACAATAAACGTTTAGAGTGCTTTGTCTTTGCCTTTTTCGTTTTCAAACGGTGGCTGCCTGGTTATTTTAAGGATTTTCCATTCCTTTTGTCTTTTTGACATAAATTTTAATTGCAAAGCGTTTCTTGTTAAATTTTAATGCTGTATTTAGTTTTCTATTTCCATAATCTAAATAGAATACGGAAGCTTTCTAAAAATACCCGGATAACAACAAAAACAACCTTTTCCCAGATTACTTTTAATTATCTCTGCCAGCAAACACATCCAGTGCTTTCAAAATAAAAAGTAACATTTGGGGAATTGGGTTCAGCTGCCGATAATTATTATGTCAACACAATTATCTAGACGCCGCTACCAGCCAGGCAAACAAACAACCATCCAGCCAGCCAACCAGCCATCCAAGCGGCAACAGCAGTAGCACATATTGTCAATTTTGTGATGTTTTACAAATTATGAAATATATTCTCCAACCCCCATGGCTCTAGCAGTCAGCACCTCAGCCTTTGCCACCAAACATTCCAAATTCAAAAAATAGAATGTTACTTGGATTTGTAAGAAGTATGTATGGGGATTTGTGTTAAATAAAGCCGTGTGCGCCAAGTGTATTCATCATGAATGAGATGGAGTACAACAACAATAACAACGGCTGCTGCTGCTTTCTGCACTAGGACGCGCGTAATCAAGTGAAGAACAGAAGGTTATCACAATTACTTTGTGTTTGACCCCCTTCTGTGACGACGATGTGTTGTCTGCTTCCATGGATGATGATGTTTTTTTCTCTATTTTGCTGGAACATAATGAAAATAACAAATACGACAATAAGAAAAAAACAACATCATCACCATCAACGTCAACTACTTACCTCGAAAACACACATATCACCCCCACTCACTGTTGTCACATAGTCGACCTCATAAAATTCCAACTATTAAAGGAGACACCAACAAAAAAAGACATGAGCCATCGAATGGTAACAACAACAACAAGAAGAAGATGTGGAAACATAATGACAAAAAATTAAAATGCAAAATGGTTCCAACTTATAATAAAGCCATCACATACATATGTCCATAGAGAAATTCCCATTGATAATTGACAACGAGTGCGAGCGTGAATGAGGATGGGAAACAGGAGTCAATGGTTAATCCGAATATGTGTTACCCTAAGTCACGGCTCAAATACTGCGAAAGTAATTTGTTTTGGAATGGGCCGTTAAATTTATTCAATGTATTTTTACAAATATTCAAATTGGTCGAAAATATGGAGCAATATGGATATGAATTGGGGAATATAGATGGCAAAATATGTTTTCTCATGTGTAGATTGTAATTTCCCCCAAAAAATAACCCAGTATACGCAACGGGACTGGCAATACTTTAACCGAGTAAGCTCTGGGTAACGGTTAAATTGAGCTCTAGGAGCGAAAGATCCGAACAGGTACACTGGTTATTTTAAAAGTCAATTTGTCGTGAATTCTGAGAGTGATGGGTAAAGCGAATAGTACTTTATCGTATTAGATCTCTTCCAGCCGAGAAAATGTCACACCAGCTTACGATGGGTGATGTCGTAATTGTCATCCGAAAGGCAAAGTCCTTCAAATCGTTTGGCCCGGACGGAATCTTAAAGATAACGTTAAAACAGCCAGGAGTGAAGTACCTGACAAAAGTTTTTAACTTGTCGCTAGCCGCCCACATCGTTCCCAGAAATGGATGCCAGTAAATGCGAGTCATTCATGCCGCAGCGAAAACTTGTGAAACTCTTCTTATTCCTAGCATTAGAGTAAGCTCAGTCGTCGAAGCTCCCAATATCGAGAATTTAAGAAGATAACCCGTGTCATAGAACAGTGTTGGTAGCCCTTGACTTATCATAGATTATATTAAGAGAATTACTCTACGGTCGATATTGAAACGTTGGTTGTATAATCAATAATATGTGTACACGCCAGTCGTATGTGGAATTTCAGAACAAGAAATCCCAACCCTGTTGAGTCAAACAGAGTCAATCAACCAAAACAAGTCGTGGCGTAGGATACAGGCGTTTGACCTATCAAAGGCGTTTGACACTGTTTAATGATATTGAGAACTACTTCCGGCCAAGTTTGAAACGTTAATTGCATAATAAATTTTAGTGTGGATGCCAGTTGTACGTGGAATTTCAGAACAAAAAAATCCAAACCCTGTAGTGTGATACAGGATGTTCCCCAAGGTGGGGTGATATCTCCCAAACTATTTAACCACTTTCTTTCTGGAATTCCTCTCTCTTCAGTCAACATTGAGAACATAACTTATGCGGATGATAATGACGACGAGTCTCATCGTTGATGACATAGCTTGCAGCCTACTTCCAATCAAGGATTATTAAAATATCCACATGGTCTGCGGAAATGACAATGCACATTTGAATGTGCAGGTCGAGAGACAATTAATTCGAACCACAAACTAGATAGAGGATCTTAGAGCATCTTCACGTCGCCTATGCAAGCCACAGCTTTCTGCGATAAATTGGAAAGTAGGAGGAAGGTAATCACAAAGACCAAAATAGCTGCAACAAACTGCCTCCTCATGACACCACTGCAGGAACTGAAGATGTAGCTACACTTTTTGTTTCGAAATTAGAGTAGATTTCCGAAGGCAATTAAATCGAAGTGGATTAGTATGTCGGCCTATACATGTTCAACAGATATCCATTACCGTCCAAACACATTGATACGACTGTAACTTCCTGCATATATCGTTGTATCCATATAAATGGTATCCAAACCATTCTGAGGTGCTTGTGAATATATAAACTCTCACTTCTATATCTCTTAAACACACTCGCCAAGTTCTTCTGACACCCCGGTGGGATCTCTACTACTATTCCAGTTCTCAGGCCTAAGGTCTAAATTCAATTTTACAGACATATCCTCAAAGATTGGCACCGATAACCTCATCTACATAAGCAAAAACTCTATGACGTCTTGAGTGTGTGGGAGAAGTCAAGCACCATTGTTATAATGTGCCGGTCTGCTCTTGTTCAGTCCGCCTGAATTCATTTTTGGCAATACTGTTGTTAGTTTGTTAACAGACCGCATTATAAGTGATCGGCAAATGGATAACTTTTTCTAGTGTTGACTAGGAGCAAAACCTCAAGAGTATTTGCTACAGGGGACAAAATTGAAATCGCATGTCATATATCATGCCTTTTGTGGCATCCTTTTCTGGATTCAGTTCCAGCACCCGAATTATTTTTAAGCCTTCGGGAACGACGTGAATAGATAACAAAACATTTGAGACCCTGGATAAAATAAATGTCTCCCGTGTTTCAATAATACCGTTGAGATTCCGTTCATGTTCAAAAAAGACCAAGTTCTTCGTGTGAACTGTAGAGTTACCTTCTCTGTGTGGAGAGATCTGATACGATGCATCATTATTCGCCTCACCCTGTCCTCCACAAGGTGTTCAAACAAGTAATGTTTAAAAATTGCCTAAACTTTCAATTTATCCGGCGTAAAGTGTTTAAAAGTGATTAGAGTTTCATCATCGCCGACAAGATAACTTTACTCGTATCAATTGCAATGGACCACAAAAGGTCATCGCACTACCGCTGGATCTCTTGAGGAGTAAGGTAGAACCTTAAGTATTCGACAGCTGATACATAACGAGGAGTTGCAGCTGTAATAATGTTTGCTACCCGAACCTCAGATGGGCTAGACAGTCCTCCAAAGCACCAATTGCTAAATTCTGAATACAGACTTATGGGCTTCCCCGAGCGAACTGCTGGTGGAATAAAACTTATTATACTATTTATGCCTAGGTAAAATACAAAAGAAATTAAAACTAATAAAAAAATGGATCTCCAATTATATTTTTTCCTTGCCCTATAAAAACAAGGATGACCTCAGACCAATTCAGAATAAAATAACCTGACGCCAGAATCCACTAATATCTATCTATTGTCTTGATTTGTTTATCTATTCCCTATTCTTCCACATAAAGTTAATAGTGAAAGCTATAAAGCTTAAAATAAATTATGCATGCAAAGAAAATGAAGAGAAAAAAATACGAAAACGAACCAAAGAACGAATGAAAACATTTTTATTATTTAACACATTTTTTGAACTAAATGACTTTGAAATTTGTTATGCAAATTTGGTTTTCCTTAATTCATTTATATTCAATTCTATTTCAACGCCATCGTTTACGTTCCTGCTCTGCCAACCAACCAACAGTATATGATCATTTTGTTTTTGCTCTTCCTCATACAATTCTCCATTGCCAGCTCGTGTTTGGCTGTCAACTCGGAGCAGCAACAAGAATTTGCTGAGGAGGGATGGAATCGAGTGCCAGCATCGATGCACAAACAAGTGCAGGATACATTCCTTTGCTGTGGTTTCAATTCCACAAACACCACGGCCGATGAGTCCTGCGAGTTGGTGAACAAACAGTGCTGTCTCGGCAATTCGTACGACACCAATTGCCAGTGTCCACCGTGTTTGCCCAAATTGGAAGATAAAATCAATTATGCCTTTAAATTGTGCGGTGGTTTGGGTATATTCTTCAGTTTTACAGAGGTAAGTAAAACTATGGAAATTTTAGTATTTAGTTTTTAATTTATTTTATTGAAAATAAGTCTCATGTATACATTTATACCCTCAGCAGAGCAATTGATTCATTTGATAAGGAGAAAGTATGACACATCAAAATAACGATTTCAAAACGCCAAAAAAATTCTTTTCAGGACATTTGAAATCGATTTAGGTTCGATAAGGTTAAATTCAAAAGTCCAAAGTTAAAGACACAATTTACATTGAGTTTGAGAGTGATCCATGTCAGTCCACTTCTTAGGATTTCTCTTCCACAAACTGTTAACATTTTAGAAAACTTTTTAGTTTCATATGTAACTCAAGGGTCTCCGACTCCCCTTAGTTATAAATTTATGTAACGATGGAACAGTCGGATTTGGTTCAAACTTTCATCATAACATATTTACCAAACAGAGGGACTAAAACTCTTTACAAATAATAATTACAGGAATAATCCAGTGGATTATGAAAGGAGATCAAACGGTTGGTACAGGAGCATAAGAGAAAAAAATGGCCTAGACCTCAGTACCGAGAAGAATAAGGTTTTGGTAACGGTTAAATCGCCTTGGGAAAAAGTTTGATGGGACCTCAGTCACCATTAACGATCCGAAGATTTGCGCTAGTTATTTTAACCCCCAATTTATCGAGCACCCCGAGAGTGGAAGATCGAAGTATAGTTCGTCGTATTAGATCTCTTTCCGCCGAGGAGGTACCATAGTTTAGTATGGATGACGTTGCCAATTCCATGGCAGTGTGCTCTACTATACCGGATTGATCCAAATTAACAACTTCTCAGTGTATACATGTTCACCTCAGCGTATAATACCTACCCGGGACCGAAGAAAACCCGGATCTCAATTCTTTGCCAGAACGTCATCCACCACAATCTGTTTGCAGATGCAGCGAATGGGAGCATTTTAGAAGAAAAAAGAAAAAAATATGATGTTTCAAATACCATCCACAAAACTAAGTCAGCGTTTGGCTCGGATGCAATCTTGATGGCAATATTAAAACCGACAAAAGTCATCGACCTCTCGCTATCCGCCCATATCATTTCCGAAGCCTGGAAAATCGAACGGGTGGCCGCGCTACCCTAACAAGGCAAGGATGCCAGTAAAGTTAAGTCATACAGGATGATTGACTTTAGGTTTGAGCTAATTGGCAGATCAATGGCCTTAGAAAGCAGTCGATTTTTATACCATACACAGCATAGTGGTGAGGATATAATGTTTTTCGGAAGCGAGATAGACCCATAGTTACTTTTGAGGATCTTCATAAAATCACTTTCTGAATAGATTTATGCATGCCAGTCCGTCTGTCCATGTATTTTTGTGAACAAAATGCAGGTCGCATTTACTATCCGATTGAGATGATATTTTGCAAACAATATTTGTTTGGCCCAAGGGCAAACCCCATTGAAATTGGTGAGAATCGGTTAAAATTTAGATATAGCTCCCATTCATCCGATTTGGGGTTTAAGTCCCTCGCATGCGTAATATGCACTCCACAAGAATGATCTTTGGTATAAGATATTCGATACAGATTTGAAATACGTACCTAAAATGTTGTCAAGATCGGTTCAGATTTGGATATAGCTCCCACATATAACTTTATCCGATTTCAGGTTTATTGTGCACCAAATGGTTAAAATCGGCACAAGTGGACTGAATTTTGGCAATTCCGACTGAATTCATCCTAGAAACAAGTGCTTCAAATTTGGTGAAAATCGGTTCAGATATAGCTATACCTCCCATACATATATTTTATCCGATTTGGGGTTTTAAGTCCCTCACATGCGTAATATGCACTCCACAAGAATGTTCTTTGGTACCAGATATCAAATACAGCTCAAAAATAAGTAGCTAAAATTTTGTCAAGATCGGTTCAGATTTGGATACAGCTCCCATATATATCTTTATCTGCTTTCAAGTTTATTGTGCACCAAATGGCTAATATCAGCCCAAATGCACGGAATTTTGGCAATTCCGACTGAATTCATCCTAGAAACAAGCCCTTCAAATTTGGTGAAAATCGATTCGGATACAGCTATAGCTCCCATATATATGTTTCATCCGATTTGGTGTTATTGTCCCTCACATGAGCAATATGCACTCCACAACAATGACATTTGACACCGGACATCAGATACAACTCGAAAATACCTCTGCCAAATTTTAGCGAGATCGGTTTACATTTTACATAGTTTCGATATACATATTCATCTGATTTTACGGTTATTGCTCACCATATATGTAATATCAGCCCAAATTGGATAGATTTTTTTTTTCATATTTAACTGCATTTTTCCATTTGGTGAGACTCGGTCCGAGGTATCCAATAAATGTTTTTAATATAATTCTTATCGAAGTCATAGGGGTACAAAAGCCTTCGTCAAATTTTTTGAAAATCGATTCAGAGTTGGATATAGTTCCCAAATTGTGACTACTCTAAAGCCATGATACTCATTCAAATAAGGTTCATAGTAAGTATGATATACTTCACATAAATTTCCAATATAAACTTTTTTGTTACGGGAGCCCTACAAAATACGTATAATGTTGTAGGGTCTCATATACCTTTTGACCTTTCCTTACTGGTTTTAAACTTATTGTAGTGAGCATCAAATTGGCAGAGTAAAAACACATGCAAAATTTATTGCTCTAATTTCGATGATAGACTCCAATTTGTCTGATACTTCCCAAAAAAATAAAGATTTTGAAAATTATAATTCTCAAACAAAATGTTGGGGGTCCTCGATTTGGTTAAAATTTGCAAAGATTGCAGAGTTAAAATGTTGCTTATCATATAAACCCGTAACAACTTTAATGTTGTAATATTTTTAACAGAATCGGAATATATTGGCACACTCCTTCGGGTATTATCTGCACATGGAATACAAATTTGAAAAATAATAGATATTAATAAAAAAAAATGGAATCTGGCTGATTTGATGCAAACTTTGCAATAATGTTTGCCCTCTCCTTCAGTTCAAAAAAGAATGTTCCTGTGTATGTGATACCTACCTCCCCAAAAGATGTAAAACAATGCTCATATGCTGAGGGTATATTTAACTGTCGGTTAAACCGATTGAGTCTTGTGTATTTATTAACATTCTAATATTAATCAACTAATAATTGTTCTCTACATTTTCTCCCACTATTGCTACTAACCAATGCATGACATATGCCGGCAGTTTATTGGTGTCTGGTTAACCGTTCGCTATCGCAATCAAAAAGATCCACGTGGTTTGCCCAGTGCATTTCTTTAAATACACCAACTAAGAGCAAACATAATTCAATAATGAAATGCAAAATTTATACGAATATTATTTACACAAACATACATATATGCATACATAATAATATTAATTCGCCATTTAAGTTAGCCCCGACCGCACACTTTCCCGATTCCCACATTATAACATCCCAAAGTACCCCTTTCCTCAATAATTCCACGATCTAGTCATTACAAAATTACAAAAAACTGAGAATAAACAACTCACAAAATTGAATGGTGTTAACATGAATTATAATACAATCTCACACTCATATATAGACATACATACATTTATTGTATTTGTAAACAAAAACAATAACAACAAAGAAATTGCAAAATATTTAAGGTATTTTACACAGTACACATTAATTTAATTTAATGTTGATGAAATGCAATTAAACAGCAGGAGTATTTGTAATACCCCTCCTCCCCCTCAATATAACAATATCATCATTCAAATACCCACTCTTGCATACATACCAGCTGCATATATACAATAACAATAAACATTAAAGTCACATTCAAATAAAACAATACAATTATTTACTCTTCATTTCAAATAATTAAAATACATACACAAACAAACATTTATGCATTAATCATTTAACATAATTACATGGCTAACATACCTACATACCTATATATGAAGCATTATATATACATATTATTATAATTATTATTATATACAAAGCAAATATATACATTTATATAAGTACATACATACATGCATATAGTATATATTTAGAGACTTTTTAGTTATGTAAGTTAGTCACCACAACAAAAAAACCTATAGCTACTGCAACAGCTATTTACATACAAACAGGAATCAATCAATCATCATCAATTTTTACCAGCCTTCGTTGTACGGACGTCATCCGAAAACATACCAAAATCTAATGTTATTTTCCAAAAATCTATTTTAATTTGCTTTCCGTTTTTAACATATCCACACAAAAAAGGGTTTCATTAAATAATTACCTTATCAAAATTACATTAACCGTTCCAAAACCTAAAATGCCACCTTCATTTTATGGACTATTAATAGAAACTAACCAAATTAAAATACATTCGCATAACTGGAGTGTCACAAAACAATGGGTGAGATAAATTACCACGTTTTCCTATTGTCTTCTGTTTGATTTTTTATTTAATTTTTGAAGTTTCTTTTCAATTTTATGTTTTTTTGCAATATAATTTTTGAAATATTCACAAAAAATCTCTATATACCAACTCGAAAAAGATCGAAATCGAAATTTCTTTTCTTTGGTCTAGTCAGGGACACTGTTGACCCATCTCATCAGTATGTTTAGCACGATTCTTAGATGGGACCTGTTAAGTGATAGAAGGGAGTTTGCTCTTCTACTCGAGATTACCGGCCAGATTGCCTTAAATACCATGCAACCGACTTCCAAGTGCTATCTTCTTACAACATCTCCGTTGAGAGATGTTTTGAAGCAGTTGACATAATAGCTTAGTGATGATTTAACCATTTCATCGATCGATAGATCTATCAATTAGAATCGGCCTCAAGCCAAATTATCAACCACTTTATTCATATAGAGCATAGTTTTATGGATCGATTCCAGCATCGCATTGTTAGAAACATCATATATATTAACAAAAGCCGCCCCAGTAAACTTGGAGTTTTCTATTTATACCCTATACACCACGTAGTGATAAGGGTATTATGTCTTTATGCATTTGTTTGAAACGGGGAAAAGGAAGCGAGGTAGACCAATAGTTTCTTTTGAGGATCTTTATAGAATCATATTCTGAGTCGAATAATTCATATCAGTCAGTCCGTCCATGTATTTTTGTGAACAAAATGCAGGTCACATTTATTATCCGGTAGAGATGAAATTTTTCCAAACAATATTTGTTTGGCCCAATGACGAGCCCTATTGAAATTGATGAGAATCGATTCAAATTTAGATAAAGCTCTCATATATATCTTTAACTGATTTCGGGTTAATTGTGCACCAAATGGCCAATATCAGCCCAAATGACCTGAATTTTGGCACATCCGACCGAATTCATTTTAGAAGCAAATACATCAAATTTGGGAAAAATCGATTCAGATATATCTATAGTTCTCATATATATGTTTCATCCGACTTGGGGTTTTAAGTTCCTCACATACGTAATATGCACTCCACAGCAATGATCTTTGGCACCAGATATCAGATACAGCTCAAAATGAGTGTTTAAGTTTTTTTTCGAGATCGTTTTAAATTTGGATACATATCTCATATATATCCGATTTCATATTTTTTTGCACCAAATGGTCAATATCAGTCCAAATGACCTAAATTTTGGGTACTTCCGATGGAATTCAGCCTAAAAGCAAGTGCTTCAAATTTTGGTGGAAATCGGTACAGATATAGCTTTAGCTCTCATTTGTATGTTTCATCCGATTTGATGTTCAAGTCCCTCACATGCGTAATATGCTCTCCACAAGAATGATTTTTGATACCGGGCATCAGATACTGCTCTAAAATACCTTTGCCAAATTTTATCGAGATTGGTTCAGATATGTATGTAGCTTCGATATACATCTTAATCCGATTTTACGGTTATTGCTCACCATATATGTAATATCAGCCCAAACTGAATGGGTTTTCCATATTCAACCATATTTTACCATTTGGTGAAATTCGGTCCGGTATATCTATTGCTCCAATAAATATTTTTTTAATATAAACCTTATCTATTTCATATAAATGTCCAATATAGTCTTTTTTGTTACGTGAGATCTACTAAATACTCATAATTGGGTAGCGTATCATATAGTCGGCGTCGACCGGCTTTTTACCTTTCCTTTGCTCGTTATAAATTATGGGAGAGAAGTAAGGAAAAAACGCAGGGTAGCTTCTTGTGCAAATACCGAAATATACATTGCCCATTGGTTGTACAACGATTTGAAAATTAACATGAAACCAAAACAGCCAAGTTTTTTTTTTTAAATTTTAGATTTTTTACCCTTCACCATACTATATCTCCTCGAAACACTCACAATAGACCCTACAAAGCATATACATTCTTGGTCAGCGTAAAATATCAAAATCAAGTGAAAATATTCAAGAAAATTATTTGTCATAAAATTCTACAATTGGTGCTAGGAGACGTCAAGAGTCTACATCTTACATAACCGCCAGAAATTCATACATAATACAATTATTCTTCATCATATATAACGATAAGTTACCAACATAAACGAAATCTAATTTTCTGTTGTATATAAACAAAAAAATATTTGGGTCAATATTTCCAAAAAAAAGAAAAAAAATCTCAAGTTTTTAAATCTTTAGTCATATGGCTTCAGAGGGTCTGACTGGCAGATGCACACGATAAATCTTGAAAAGAAAGTTGGCACGTCCTAATATTTTTGTCAAACTTAGATCAAGTCCGAAGATGGGTAATATCGGTCCCATCCTTCCACTTTTGGTACCTCTATAAAGAGTAAAAATAAAAAGCCTCTCAAAAACGGAAGGAAAAGTTCAATTTCGTTCGAATATCGCAATATTTTTATCAGATCTAAGTTGGGTGAGAAATTGGTCAATATTGGCCCACTCCCCCAAAAAGGATAAGAATTTCGAATTACCAGAACATTTATAAAATGTGAAATAAGAGTCCGATTGTGTTCCAATTTCGCAAATACTTGTGTTCCTACCAACGTTTAATCTGATATGAAGATAGATAATAACAATAACTCTAATAAAATGATAAATAAGCATCCAATGCTTTTCGAACTTAACATACCTCAATATTCTTAGGTCAGGGTTGAAAATCGACAAAAGTCAAAAAACCGGAAAAAATCATACATGTAACTCATATAAAACCAAATGAAAACATAAATTTGCTATGTGGTAATATTTCTATCAGACTTAGGAAGGATATATTATTTATATATTTGACCCTAATTTCTCGTACCTCTCCCCAAAAAGTCATAATTATTCTAGTACACCCTACCCACAAAGGATACAAGTTTTTAATTGTCATAAGTTTCTCAAATTGTAAAATTATTCCCCAGAAATGCATTTCGAATCCATTTCAGAGGTGGACCCGAGTATTATTTTTTCGTGTAAAATGTTAGAAAAATGGCATTTCGGAGGGCGTCTGGCCTCACACCCTGTGTATGTCCATGATGAATTATTTCTAAAAACATTAGATCTTGCAAGAAGATGTAATATATAGGCCTCATATATCCCCCAAACGTTTTTCCAATCTCTATATTAAATGGTCAGTATACTCAAGGCTATATAAAAGCTTTAAAAAAATAATTCGAGATTTTTTGAGGTTTTGGATTTACAAACCTCCACTTTTTCACAACTCCAACTAGCTATTGGACAGAAAATTGTCAGCGAATTCCGAAAATTGCTAAATTTGACGAAAATAAATAATGTTTTAAAAAACAAAATTTATAATATAAGAATAATAAACATATCTGTTGTTCATAGACCCACAATGAAATTTGTGGTCTTTTGAGGAAATATTAATAAAGTATTAAAAAAATAGGAAATGTTTTAGGCTTAAAGTCAATGAAGAATATTTTTGTTTTTTGACTTCACCCCTCTCAAATTATGCTTTGTAGGAGAACTCAACATAAGTACGGCTTTAACTCTAAAATTTTCTTTAACCTAACCTAACCTAACCTAAGACGGTTAATGTTGGGCTGAAGTGAATTTTTATTTGTGTTCTAATTATTATTTTTTTTTATTAATTTATTTTAATATTTTTTGTTAATTTGATTTATTTAAATTTTGTATATTTTGTTAATTTTAATAGTTTTACTTCTTTTTTATTATTTTTTTTTTATAAAATATAGCTACTTCTATTAAATTTCAAAACTAATTCTCCCTCTCTCTCTTGTAGGTACTTGCTGTATTTTTAGCCCGTCGTTATCGCAATCAAAATGATCCTGACTATTTGCCAGCACGTGCAGTTTTCCCCCATAACTATATTTACTAAGAAGATGCTTAGAACAAGCGATCCTTCACTAGTGGAATCTCCGTTTTTTTACTTTCAACGAACAAATTTTTAGTTAAGAATCCAAACATTTTGCCCCCCAAAAAAATATAGAAACAAAAATTGAACAAATTAACAAAAAAAGAGAAAATTAGGCAACTATATAAATAATATGAATCATGTTAATAGTCATAGTTATTTTCTTTTAGTTTAATTGTATATTATTTTCTTTTTATTATTTGTTAAGTACATATATTTAATTATTTTAAATTTTTTGATGTATTTCATTAGTCAAAATGGGACGAAGGCTGATTATGATTTTTTTTGTTCAATATCTCTCCGACATGATTATTTTAAGAAATACAATTTTGTACACATTTTTCGTTCATACATATAGTTAATAATTTTTTGTTTTCAATGAAGTCATAGTCATCGTATACATTAGATTATACAGTCAGTCAACTGTCAGTGTACAATGTTGTTTATGTCGACCAAGAAATGAAAAACCAAAAATTTATTTTAAAATCCATTTATTTTGAGATTATTTTAAAGTAGTGCTATTTTATTTTTCTGTAATTTATTTTTGGATTACTTAATAGATTTTAAAATCAAATGCTGTTTTAATTAATTAATTTTTGTTTTAATTAATTTCTTTAGATTTTTAATTATTTTCTTGTGTACACATAACTTGCAAATTGTATAAAAACAATCATATTTTGAATTACTTTAGGGCTGTGTGTATGAAAATATAACTTAAAAAAACAACATTTAATGTATTTTTTGGTATTTTAAAAATTGAAATATAAGTGAACCGATATAAGGACAGGTCAGTGGTCCCATCTTTATTTATACCCTCCACCATACATAGTATGGCGGGTGGTTATATTAAGCTCGTCATTCCGTTTGTAACTCATCGAAATAATAATTTTAGACCCAACAAAGTACATATATTCTTAATCAGAGTAAAATTCTAAGACGATTTAGCTCTGTCCGTCTGTTGCAATCACGCTAGAGTCAAAACGAATTAAGATATAAAGCTAAAATATTGTACAGATCAGTCTTTTATATCGTCCACGATATCGTATGGTCCCCATACAACGGTACCTCCGATATTCGGTATTTTGATGATTATAGCCACAATTTTCAATGGAATTGTCTGAAAATCCTCACAAGTAGTTCCTTCTGAGTACTTTACCCTCTGGAAGAGAATTGCCTATAAAGGTCCACGATATGGTATAGCCTCCATACCACGGTACAACCGATATTCGGTATTCGGTATATTTTAAAGACATTATTCACCGGAATTGTTTCAAATTTCGTATTTGAAACTCGTAATGGGTACTAAAGCCTACCACAAAAAATTGCGTATGCAGGTCCACGTCTTCGTATAGGCCCCGTTTAACGATACCTCCCAGCCATTATTCACCGGAATTGCTTCAAATTTCTTATTTGAAGCTCGTAATGGGTACTACAGCCTATTACAAAAAATTGCGTATGCAGGTCCACATCTTCGAATAGCCCCCATATAACGATACCTCCGATATTCGGTATTTTAATGATTTTAGCGACATTATTCATCGGAATTGCTTCAAATTTCGTATTTGAAGCTCGTAATGGGTACTACAGCCTATGACAAAAAATTGCGTATGAAAGTCCACGCCTTCGAATAACGATAACTCCCGATATTCGGTATTTTGATAATTATAGGGACATTATTTATCGGAATTGTTTCAAATTTCTTATTTGAAGCGCGAAATGGGTACTTCAGCCTATGACAAAAAAAGTTGTGTATGCAGGTCCACGTCTTCGTATGGTGGTCCCCATATAATGATACCCCCTGATATTTGGTATTTTGATGATTATAGGGACATTATTCACCGAAATTGTTTCAAATTCTGAATACCTCCGATATTAGGTATTTTGATTTTAACGACATTATTCACCGGAATTGTTTCGTATTTGAAGGTCCACGTCTTCATTTAGCCCACACGTAACGGCACCTCCCTTTATTCGGTATTTTAACAATATTAAATTTTTTGCCGGAATTGTTTCAAATTTCTTATTTAAAATTCTTAACGGGTACTACAGCCTATGACATGCTTATATGACGGATTTCCTTTGAACCACATTTTCGACAGATTTTTTTTGGAAATTTTTCAAGTTCCTCCAAAGTGGCGGGAAGGTATTACAAGTTCGGTCGAAAAATAGCTTCAATCGGAAAATATCTTCAATCAATTACCTGTTAAAGTTATATGTTTCAGACCTGTCAGAATTCCCCACTGAGAACCTTCTCATAATTCCGGTGGACCATTAAATGGTTTCCTCCTTACGCCAGCATATTCATATGCTATCGCCATAATCACGCCATACCTGCTTGAATGTTACCGTTTGGGTCATCCTAGCCAATATATGGTGGACAGAACTCCCCGACCCAGGCGTGTCAGGAAGGACCTAAACAATCTAGAGAGGGAGGTATAACGCTTTAAAAGAGAGCTTATAGTACCATTCATGCTGATGCAGTCTCAGATGTCATCAAAAACTACTGCATGCTTTCGTTGCAGTACCTGATTGGGTGTTACCGTGAAAGTCATCCCAACCATCGTATGATGGATACAATTCCCCCACCCAAGCGTGTCAGGAAGGACATACACGATCTAGAGAGGGAGGTCCAACGCTATAAGAGAGAACCTGTAGATTAAGAAGCCTAGCCGTCCTTGGAGTCCACCCCTCATCTATTGCAGTTGAAGAACGCCAGCTGGCTAGACAAACCAGGGTAGTTTGTGGCGTAATTACGTTCAGGATGGTGTAGTCGTGTCAATTCGTACTGGGCACGAATTGACGAAGATGTGCGCGACGTCTGCCAGGCCCGCACAATACGCTGCACCTCTTTAATTGCCCAGCCAAACATACCCAGCTCACTCCAGAAGATCTCTGGCTACAACCCGTTAGAGTAGCCGAATTTTTAAAACTAGGTCTTGAGCCAGATTAGCAGAATGCAAACACTCACATGTACTACTGCTACAACAACAGCTACAGCATGAATTTCAACCTTTGAGTCCACCCCCATACAGAGCGAAGGACATCAGCTGCGAAGCTTCAACCAAACCATCCACCTCTTTTTTAATTGTTTTTTTTTTTTTTGTTTTGAGAGAAGACGTTAATGAATCATCAAAACGAATGGCATGTCCTGTCAGTATCAACAGCCTTAAAGCTTCAACCAAACCATCCACCTCATTTTTAATGTTTTTTGGAGAGAAGACGTTAATATATCAATAAAAAGAGTGGCTAGCCAAGGCCATGGCTAATACCAGGGGCCTCAATATTCTGATTTTCTTTTTCACTGCAAATTTCAGACCATTGAGCTCGACTCTAAAGATAAATAAACAAAGAAATTAAATTAAGGGGTCTTCAGAAAAAGGAGAGCAGTATTGTTTTTAGTATTTTTAATGGCGGTTTTTCCATTGTCAATTTTGTAATGTAATCATGTTCGGACTGACCTTTTTTCCTTAAAACATTTTTTGATTTCGTAATTAGGGTACAGTACAAACCCTGTATGACTTCTGTTCAATTTAGCAGATATCTCGGTATTTAGGACACTGAGTTTTCAGTTGGGTCCACTTATTAATGAAGGTCCATTTATTCACTTATATTCAAAACAAAACACACAGCTCTAAATCGTTTAAAAAATCAATTAAATTATGAATCTCTACCTTCAACATTTTCGATACCAAAAAAGCCAACCACAATCATTACCAACTCACCTATCCAACAAACTACAGAAACTAATATAAAATTACAACAATATTTGGAAACACAAGAAATAAAAAAAAATTAAAAATAAATTAAATGTTGCATGAAATTTTGAGATTATGTGTACAATAAAATACAAAAAAAAACTAAAGCAACAATTTCAATACTAAATGTCCATAAAAAGAAAGAATCACAGAAATCTATCTATGTCTACAAAAATGTGTATACATTCACGTTCATACATACCCCTACCTATATACAAAACACTCCTGCATAATAACAACAACAACAACTATTTATATCAGACTATACTGTCGTCTAAATGTCTACTTCAACAAAATGAAATTTAGCAAAATGCGAAATGAAAACTATAACCAAATTAAAAGAAGAAAACCAAAAAAAAAAAATAATTGTCCTATAGAAATCCTAGCAAATCCAAAATGAAAAAAAAAAAAAAAAAACAAACAACTGTAGTTCAAGTTATTGATAATGTTGAAAAGTATACCAAAAACCAATAATTTTTGTATTTGAAAAACAAAGTGTAGCTTGTTAGTATAGTTTCTCAAATGAATAATCGAATCATTTCCGTTTCCACTCTTTATATTGAACCCTTTCTGTCCCACATCTCGAAACTGCTATCATTATTTCTTTCAATATATGTCTCGGTATACACACACACACCTTTTTGTACTTTCTTACCTTTAATTTCCTCCATCGATCGTTTCGTTTCAATTTCATGAAAATAATCTCTGTATTCTGTGCTGTGATTGAAATAAAAAATAAACATCTTAAAAAACAACAGGAAACAAATTGTAGTTTTATTTTCAAAAAAGGTTAAAGTCTTACATATTCTAGATTTCATCCGGATTGACCCGTTTGCCAGACCACAGCGAAAAGTCCTCGCCTTTGTTCTCTTTTCCTGGTTATGCTCCTCCACAGTGGAAAGGATAATATATATTCGTGATTGTTATATGAGTCGATTTAACGATATCCTTCTGCCTGCCTCTCTGTTAAATTTAAAATACAACCCATATTATTAAAAAAAAGAGCTTTGAAATTTGGTTGGTACTGAAAATCTCTTATATCGTTCCACCAGTGGCATAGTTGCTACATAACGGTATCTTCGGATATTCGATATTTCTATGCAATTAAAAGTAAATTTGTGTTTAGATTTCCTTCCCTGAAAAAAGGGAGACTTATAACAGAGGGAAGGAAATATATAATTAATGCGGAAGGTCCACACATATAACGGCGGGAAATCTTTCTTTTTATACCCTACACCACAAAGTGATAAGGGTATTATGTTTTTGTGCATTTGATTGTAAAATGGAAAAGGAAGCGATATAGACCTAAAGTTACTTTTGAGAATCTTCACAGAATCACTTTCTGAGTCGATTTATGCATGTCAGTCCGTCCGACCGTCCGCTCGCCCCTTTTTTCATGTATTTTTGTGAATAAAATGCAGGTCGCATTAATTATCCAATTGAGGTGAAATGAACCGAGTAGAATCGCTTCCAATTTAGACATAGCTCCAATATATATCTTCAACCGATTTCGGGTTAATTTTACACCATATGGCCAATATCAGTCCAAATGACCTGAATTGTGGCACATCCAACCGAATTCAGTCTAGAAGCAAGTAAATAAAATTTGGTGAAAATCGGTTGAAATACAGCTATAGCTCTCATATATATGTTTTATCCGAGTTGAGGTTTTTAGTGCCTCACATGCGTAATATGCACCCCACAACAATGATCTTTGGTACCAGATGTCAGATATAGCTCAGAATTAAATGCCTAAAATTTTCTCTAGATCGGTTGAGATTTGGATATAGCTCCCATATATATCTTTATCCGATACTAGGTTAATTGTGCACCAAATGACTAATATCAGTCCAAATTAACTGAATTTTGGCATTTCCAACTGAATTCATCCTAAAACAGTTCCTTATAATTGGTAAAAATCGGTTTAGTTATAGCTGTAGATTCTATATACAGGGTGTGATAAAAAAATTGCAACCAACTTTAGACTGCTGTCATTTCTGAGCCACTCGTCCGGTAGCTGTTAACATTATTCCAGTCATTTTGGTGAGAATTTTCCAAACAAAAAAAAAAAAAATTGTGATGGAATTTAAGCGTGATAGTGTGATTTCTTTATATTTGGCTGGAAAAGCACAAGTGGCTATCGTTAGAGCACTCCAGCATTTAAATGTGAATAAAACTTTTGTGTCTCGTACCATCGCTCGTTACAATGATACTGGTAGCGTAGCCCGACGTCAAGGAAGTGGACGGAAGAAAACATCAACATCAGCAGAAATCGTTCGAAAAGTGAAGAAGCGACTTGATCGAAACCCGCGTCGCAGTGGCCGAAAAATGACTCGTGAGCTGAACATATCGTAATATTCCATTCGGCAAATATTGAAAAATGAGCTCGGGGTAAAGCCATGGAAATTCCAAAAAGTATAAGTATTTACACCGCAAAAGAAAGAAAATAAACTCAAAAGAGTTAACGAGTTGCTTCGCTTGGCCGAAAGTGGTGAACTGCCGAATTTGATTTTCTCCGATGAGAAAACATTCGTTGTCCAGCAGTTTGTAAACAAACAAAATGATCGTGTTTATTTGTCACCAGAATTCAAGCGCCGCCCATGGTGATGGTGTGGGCCGCCATAACAGCTGATGGTCGCTCTTCGCTCGTATTAATCTACCGTGGCATTAGAATAAATGCCGAATATTATCGCGAAAATATTCTGGAGGGTGTATTAAAGCCTTGGACACGCAAACATTTTGGCCCCAGACCTTGGACATCCCAACAGGACTCAGCACCATCCCGCTCAGCACCCGCCACCCAAGAATGATTACAAAATCAGATTACTCTCTTCATTTCCAGCGCACAATGGCCACCAAAATCTCCGGATACCAATCCGCTGGACTATTGTGTCGGGAATATTTTGGAAAGCAAGGCTGGCACTAAAAATACCAAAGGGTCGATCACCCCAAGCAAGCGCTTTGCCGGGAATGGTCCAAAATACCGCAGAGCAACATTCGGGCAATGTGTGACGGTTTCATTAGCTGTTTGAAAGCCATAATTCGTACCAAAGGTGGGTGACCAATTCGAACAAATCTAAACATATTCATAGTCGGCCCGCCCGACCTTAGACCTTTCCCTACTGGTTTATTATACGTTTATGAATAGAGGTGTACATTTTTTATAAAAAAAGTAAGAAAATGCTTTCTTGAAAATCCACGTTTATGAAAAGTCGTGAAAAAAATACAAAATTTATAAAAAAAATATTATAATATTAATAAAGGTTTTGAATATATATTTTATAAAAAAATAAAAATCCACGCTTATTGTGGGACATCCCAAACATATTTTTAAAAAATCTAAATCGTGAATTTTGTAAAAACATTTTTGTACCCTCCCCCATGCTATGCTATATTGTCATTCCAATTGAAACTCCTCGTAATACTCATATTAAACCAGACAAAACTTATAGTTTAGTAATTCATTCGTAGAAGTCGTGAATTTTGTAAAAATGATTTCCTGTCAAAAAAAAAAACTAACTTCGGCTAGATGATAGTCCTGTGAAAGAGGCGCGCTCGAGGTATACTGCTTTTTAATCGATGACTTGATTATAAAAAGCTCGTTAAGGACTAGACGTATTCCGTATCAATCGCCTTGACGATAGAAAATTTGATAATAGCCGGTTCGATGATATTGGAGTTTTTGTAGTTGACCCACTGAAGACGAATTAATGATAGCCGGTTCTTTTTTTTGTTGTTGAAGTCGACGAGGTGATATTTAGATTTATGTAGTCGGCATGCAGATATCAGCTTATATTACGCGGAAAGCCTATAATCGATTTTAGTCGAGATTAGTTTAAAAATTGATTCGTACTTTCCAAACGGTTCTTTTTGGTCCCAAAAGTGGACCGACCTAAAATGGTTCGAAACTATATTTCTTGAAGTGATTAAAAGCTAACTATACAATTTTAAAGCTCTATATAAAAGAAGGGTTTGACCCACAAACCGAGTACTATCAAATCCACTTGGAATCCGGTTTGTCTATCTGTATTGAAGTTATAAGAGTATTTGAAGTGTGTTCGGAAAAGGTGTAAAATTTGTCATATATAAACCAATATTTATTGTTGATAATGCAACGTTCACTTTGCAGCCGATTTGAATAAAGTCTTTTAACCCTTTCAGTGTCAATGAAAATTTTTGTCGAGATAAAAATCTGAAATTCCGTACTAATTTACTAAAATGTGCTCAGAAATTCGAAAACGAAACTAATAGAATAGAACTGCAATATTTTTAAATAGCGAACGTGTCTGTTATTAAAAAATATCAAAAATAACGGTTCGTAAGAAAAACAAAAAATGGCAAAGAAAGAGAGTACTTTTAAATGTCAAATATATTTGACAAAAACACTGAAAGGGTTAAACATTGTTCAGGCTATTATTGGATGCTTATTTCGTATATTACGAAAAGAAGACAGGAGCTAAAACCAAATATTCATTCACTTCCACTGATTTTCTTCAAATGTGAGATCTTGAGATAATATGGAGGACATATTATCCTCAATGGCTACTAAAAGCACATTTTCTTTACTGTTTATAGTATCATCATACATTCTTACACATTCTTAGTACATTTTGAAAATTTCCCATCTCTGGAATAAACACTCGAAACAAATAGCTCAGTAGCTCAACTCGAATGCTGATTATTTTGAGTTCAAAGTAAAAATTGAGTAATAGCACAAAAATCTTTTAAGGATATTACTCAAGATAAAAGCTTTTTTTTTGTAGAGAGCACTCAATCACACAGAGAAAGACATAAATGATACAAAAATGAGAGCACACATTTTTGAAGGGAAATACAACAATTCTCTCTCTCTCTCCAAATGGTGGTTTCTCTCCTCATTTCTCAATGATTCAATACCAGCAGGACATTAACTTTTACTGTTAATGATTTAAATGTCTACTGTTCTCTCTCACACATTCTCTCTCTTCTCCTTTGTCCATTATTGTGTGTATACACCTCGTGTATAGACTGCCAAGAAAAAATTAAAACTTTAGAATTATGCATAAATGTATCTGTGTGTGTATTCACTCTGTTCATGGCAATTTCCGCAACAAGAAATTATATAATCGAACATTGACGTGCAACACATTCACACACATCAAACCTATTGCAACACTCATACACATACTTACATGCCTCAGCAAGACTCAATGCCTTTGTATGCTCACCATCTGAGAGAGTGCAAGAGTCCTTGTTGCAGTGACTTAACTGCTGCAGTTGCTTGCAACTCTTTTATTATGAGGTAAGTGGCTTAGAGCGGTTTTATTGAATGTCACTTTCGAAAACAACAACAACGAGAACAACACAAACCAGTTCCATAATGTTGA